TCCGAGAACGCATGATAGCGGGATCGGTGGAGGATTTCCTTGAGAGAGACATTGGTCTCTTGATATTGTGTGACCGTGTGTGTACCATCAAACGATGAGCTCTGAAAGTCCATCTTGGAGGAGGCTCATTCATCGGCGTATGCTATGCACCCGGGAGGCACGAAGATGTACAAGGATTTGAAAGAAAGCTACTGGTGGTCTGGTATGAAGAGGGAAATAGCTGAGTACATCAGTTGATGCCTTACTTGTCAGCAAGTTAAGGCAGAACATCAGCATCCAGTGGGCTTACTACAGCCACTTTCCATTCCTGAGTGGAAGTGGGAACATGTGACTATGGATTTCATGGTAGGCTTACCACGGACAATGAGGAACTATGACACAGTTTGGGTTGTTGTTGATAGGCTCACAAAGAGTGCACACTTTTTACCTATCAACACTACTTACCCACTTTAGAGATTAGCCAAATTGTATACGGATGAGATTGTGAGGTTACATGGGGTTCTGGTGACCATTGTATCCGATAGAGACCCACGGTTCACATCACGTTTTTGGCCAAATTTTCAAGAGTCCATGGGAACCAAGTTGAAGTTCTGTACTTGTGACACCGCACCCGAACGTCCTTGAAATTCATTTTAAATTTCAAAGTTTATGTATTGATTTCCCTATTATTGAACAATTGTAAAACGATTAATGTTTTACGTAATGTATGATTGATCATACTACCGTTCGGGCTCGTATAATAGTAATGGGATTTCAAATACTTAATTGGTCCATCTTATAAGATATAAGATCCCAATACTATGTAAATAAGAATACGTGACCCTTCGATACAAAATAAGGAACGTCGGACAACCCAAGTGTTATGTTGGGCCTAACCTGCAAAAAATAGTATGTATTCAAGAATGGCGTCCTAGGTCCACTCGAGGGTAGCCCATACGGCTTGTAGCCCAAGATATAAATGCAAAAGTCACAAATAAGTGATGTGTTGATTAGAGAAGAATACAAACTCCTATGGTCCCCACCTTAAGCATTATGGAGCTAAGTATTGGGAGTAGGATTTTCTTCTATAATTATACATAATATAAAATATTGGGATTATCCTACACATATTATAGACCAATAATATGATGTAGATAGTTGACTTGGTCTAAATAAATTGGAATGCCACAAAAAGGACATCTCATGACAAGAGATGAAACAATAGGACCCATCTTTTCATTTTTGGAAGTATTAGTAGATATTTTACTCCCAAAATAAATAAGGAACACAAGTGTGTGTTCCACACCTTCCCAGATCCTGTAGAACAAATAAAAGATGTTAGAAGAGGGAGAGGGGGGATGGACTTGACAAAAGAAACAAAGAAGGGAGACCCACCTTTTCTATTTCTGCACAAAATGAGTGTGTTGGTTGTCTCCTCCGCAATTGAGTTTTACTCATCCAAATGGAGTGGTTAGAGGTTTCCCTAGACAGTTCTTGAAGTCTAGTTGCATTATTGCTGAATTTCCGGAGGAGAGGAGAGAGTTAGATAAGCTAAAAACGAGATAGAGTGAACTGCTGCACACAAACTCGAACAGTTGGAGTGTTGGGATTGTTTGCTTTATATCTTGAGCTACACCCGTCCAAATAAGGAATATGAAGTGTCTACAGAAATCTCTCAAGATACGGAATCCGTGAAGGTGCGGTTTGCATGAAACGGAGTAGTTAAAGGCCTCCAAATCACCGAAAGAAAACGCTACCTCGCAGAAACAGATTTGCCTCTTTAAAGTAAGTTTGAACCCAAAATCTCCCTTTTCATTATCTAAATGATATGAACGCTTGGTGGGACTATTATACACTATTTCAAGTGTATAATATGTTCTTTAGAAGGTTATTTTATTGATGTAAGGTTAAATACTAACCTAGAACAAACCGTGGAAGATTAGGAAACGAATTTGCCGGGAAACACCCATTCTAGAGATTGTTTTTGTACCATTGGTTAAAGGTTGAGATAGCAACTTGAGTAGGCTGCCTAGCATTCATTTCTAAGAAAGGATTCAGTTCTAAACTTGCCTTGGCCGAAGCTTGACCATCGGATTGAGAAGGAAAGGTTCAAAGTTCATTTGAGGTGAGTATCGACATCTAGTTGCTTACAACTTGTAGGTTAAGCATAAGATTACCTAAATGTCTAAATTATGTTTTCATGGTTATGATGCTTAATCATTGATAAAATATTGTTATATTTGAAAAGGAATGAAATTGGAAATGATTTGAAGTCATATTGATAAAATGGAGTTAAATGGGCTATTAATGAACTATTATGTAAAGTAGGCATTTTGCTCATGTATGAAATGTGTAGATACATAAATGAATATTTATGTATTAAATTGGATGCTTAAGTTGCTGCTACATATCTCTAAATATGTAGGGATTTACGAATGTAATATCTGACTTGATAGGAATAATCTTAATAGTATTGGAATACTAGTTAATGATTATTTGTAATTGTTAAAGAATTGATTCTAAGGATTTGATTGTAAGTGATGCACTTGAATGTGATTCAAGTGACTAAGTTGATTTAGTATGAAGCTAAGATCATGATATGGGCAATTCTTAAGGATGTCCCAAAGTAGATTATTGATATCTCAATTCTAAGCATATGTTTGGTTAGGAATTGGGTCTATGCCATGGCACGGTGATGTACTTGAGTAGAACTCTAGAAATGCATGGGTAGATAAGGGGTTGTGAATGATGACATGCATGGTGATGTACTTGAGTTGAACTCTAGAAATGCATGGTGAGATTGAAGGTTGTAACTTATGATGTGCATGGTGTTGTACTTGAGTAGAACTCTAGAAATGCACGGTAAAGTAATTGACTTGTGTCATATGATTTGCATGATGATGTACTTGAGTATGACTCTAGAAATGCAAACATATGTGTTATGGTTGGACCCTATGAATTGTCGTGACTGGTAGTCACAGGGTATTGGGTTGATATTTTGTAAACAAACTTGGGCCTACGGGTCGACTACTTGACTTTATATAAAGTAAGTATATTTTAAAAAGGGGCAACGTGAGGTTATTGCGTAGATTATATTATCACCTTGTTTGAGGGTCTTGTGTTTGAAACACTTGTTGTATATCTTTTAGATGCCATCCACACCAGTACTTTATAGCCCTATAGAGTACTGACCCCCTTTCGGGGGTGTCCCACCACAATTTCAGGTTGAGGCTAGCACTTGCTTCCTGTACTCATTGCTCGAGTGATTGCTTCGGAGAGAAGACTTGGTTTGTGCTTCCTCCATTTTGTTTTGAACAATAATAAACTTGCTCACGGATATTTTAGTATAGAGCCTACGTGCTCATGATTCGCCCTGTGTGGCATTTGTTTTAACTATGTTTTCCGTTGCGTATTGAATTGCTTATTATGTTTGTTTATGGATGACTTATGTGTGAATGATATTCGAGACGCTTTGTAAAATACAAATCTGTTTGACTGTGGTTGACTATTCGTATTGTACGGCGGGTTGTTGACTTGTCCGGGTAGGTCCGTGACGTGACACTTTTCGTCCTTCAAAACTTTACAAAATTTAACCGACACGGGAAAATAATAAAATGAAAACTGTGTGGTTGAGATTTCTGTATAAAAGAAAGAAATTGTATGAATCACAAATTAATTGATTAAAAAAGAAAGTGATAATTTTTTGAGGTAACCAAAAAGTAGAGATTTAAGACCCAAATGAAAAGTAGAGATCACTTGTATATGAGTTGGGCTGGAAATTAAAGTGAAGGGGAAAGCCCATAAGCCAAACCCAACATAACGACACATTCTTCAAATTACTTGGACATATTTCTGTTGCGGATCATATCAAATCAGATCAGCACAATTCAGATCAAATTAGATCAAACTTTGGCAGATATAAAATACACAATCACCATACATTTACGAGACCAAACAACATCAAACGAGACTAGATTCAAAAAAATCTATCTAAATAAAAACATCTTTAGTACTTGTTAAGATCTGGGGTTCTATCCTAAAAGGTCAACTTGATACGAGGAATAACTCATGTCTTAATATAGAACTTTATTCCTTCACAAATTTCCAGTGTGGAAATTTAACACCCCTCCTCACGACCATACACTTCACATGTATCGTGTTGTCATTCTTTTTTCGTCAGTTCGTCATTGTCATTTTTATAACCGTATCATCATTTTTCATAAGGGGCCCACACCATGGATCGATTAGACTCTGATACCATGTTAAGACCCGTGATTCCATCCTAAATGGTCAACCTGATAGGAGAAGTAACACATGCCTTAATATAGCACTTCAATCCTTCACAAAATTCTGTATGGGAATTTAACAATACTCCGTACCTTATGAGCCATTTCCTCCTTTATAAGGCCACATATAATTTTGAAAAGAAAAGAGATGTCACGAAGAAAGAAACGAGAAGAAAAGCAAACCGAGAGATCCATGAACCAAACATAGCATAAGATCAATTCATTTTTAAAAATATTGTTGCGATGAGAAGCAAAACTTTTAAGTCATTTGCCTCGATAACTGTCATTAACAAACCACGAGTTTCGGGAGGGGCGCTAACAGCGGCCATAATGTAGTCGTTTTGGCGAGTGAGGTAGAGTCAGGCGAAATATACGACGGATGATTGAGCGACATTTACCGTTATTTTAACTTTAAAGAAATCAATGTTAATCATGACCCTTAATAGCATGATTAGGAAGTTTTTACTTGCATTAGAATTTTCAGGTGTGATTTGATCTTTTATAGCCTGAACAGGTGTAGTAGATGTTTAACCTTTGTATATTTTACAACTGTTAATGTGTGATCAGATTTGGTCTGATCTAGTATGGATCGAAGTCAAGAAGACTGAAACTAATCCAAATAAAAATACACTTCATGCAATTACTTAAGTTACTAGAAAATTGGAAAAGAAGTCACATACTTATATTTTATTTATTTATTTATTTATAAAAAAAAAGAAAAAAAATGAAATTCCACTTTTCTAGAATAGACATGAGACTATGAGAGAGCAACTGATGTCCAGTTAGAAGTCCATCACAAAAGTTGGCCGGGAAAGAAACACAAGGCCACCACCCACCACTGGCTGCTACCTCAGATCCGCCGTGGAATCGGGGTGATGTCAACGGCAACGGCAAAAACGAAATGGCTGAATCGAATGGCTTCAGATCCATACTATCTTCTCCACTTCATCGCATTCTTCTCATACATCCCTATGCGCTGCGCCGCTTCCCATTTTCTCATTCCTTCGCGCAACGCTCTCCTTGTCAAACGCGTACTTTCCCTCCCTCTCTAGCTCTGTGCCTATATTTTTTCTCCATTCTGTTTTGGGCAAGTGAGAAGTTTTGTTAATGAATAATTTTGAGATAGGGTATGCTTGCAGAATCTAAGGCAATTGCTCTCCATTTAAAGAGTTATTAGGTGTAGACATCTTACAAATACTCCCTCTGTCCCAAATTTAGCTGCTGTTTCCGTTTTTAGAAAAAAATTTGTGTTTCGGGTTCATTCTTACACATTTCTCTTTCCTCCGCACAACTCTCCACGACACATTTCCTATCTTAATTGTGTGTCATTTGTACTTCAGTAAATAAATATGGGACGGAGGGAGTAACAATATAGAGGAGTGAGAGAAGGTCCTGACGCTTTGACTATATTATATTAGATATGTTGAACCAAAGAGAGCAGGTCTTCGACCTGGATTAGTTGCCCATAGAGCCAATAGACCAGATGGTAGATGGCTTCCTTTTCAGCTTCAAGAGCAATTAAAAAGAAGTTGTCCGTTTGGATTTCATCATGAGTGAGGTACCTGACGCTTTGAGATTGTTAAAAGAGGCATTCACATTGAATTTGTAGCCATGACTGGTTTAGACAAAACAATAATGTTACTATTTGGTTGTTAGATCTGTGTCCGCTTTTGATCCGGTTGAAATGTATTACGTAGTACGGAGTAGTTCTTCAATGAGGGCTATACTCTGATATCGTGGAAGCCGCAGGAAAGAAATGCTGCTAGAAGAAAAAACATTACTTGTAATAACCCAAGCCTAAAACAACATTCCTTTGGCCTTGAGTGTTGTTTTAAAAGAACAATGTAAATCAACATAATTTGATGAAATTCCAATTATTCTGAAAAATACAATGATCTTACTCTGTGCTAATGTGTGTTTGCGTCTGTTTTTCTTCAAAAATAAGGTTTTGATGAAATTCCAATTATTGAACTTAAACTGATTGACAGGAAATTCAAGCACTTGTTGCTTTTAGTGCGATATCTGTTGTGAAGGTATACATCTTTAGCTGATTTGTTCATTTTCGCCTCATAAAGTTATGTGTGTTGTAAATTTGACTAATATTTGCATTTAACAGACAGTGAGGGCGGAAACATGGCAGACAGTCATCTCAGATACTCTATTTTTTGCCAAGGTATTCTTCTTCTATTTCTTTATAGCTTATTTTGTCATTCATTTAATTAGAAGATATTGGATTGAGTTGCTACTTCATTCATTATGAACATACTTTATAACAAGGAGATAATTCTAAGGTGTGGATCCAATAACCCATAGTTTGACGTCTTTAAGAAACGTAATCAGTTTACGAATTGAATGATTCGTATTTGAGTTTGGCCGATTGGTTGGCATGGAGAGAACAGGAATGCTACACATTGTCTTGAATTTGTTTATTCAATATAAATTTGGCTGAAATGGTAAAAGTTGGTGAAATTGTGGCTGAAATTGCTTAAGTTTTTAATTGTTGAAAAAAGTAATTTAGAATATGATATATTAATAAGTTGATGAAAATTTTAACTGAACATGAAGGAAGAAGTGTCATTTTCTCTCATTTCAGCAACTAGCAAAAATGCTCCTTCTTCACAATCTTTTACTATCGACCAATTTAGTGAGAGTAATCAAATAAGTTAGTGCTTGGTAAAAATTTTGGCTAATAAGTTAGCGTTCGCCATAGTGTGTCTGGATTAAGCTGAAGGGAGAGTAAAAGAGGAGATGCAGTTATCTTCTCTGCTAAGGGTTTAATGAAGGTAATGTGAGGATGCTTCCAAGCTTTCTATTCCGTTCAAATGTAATCACTCCAAATCTGGGTGATGTGAAAGGGAAGCGTAAACTTTTATAGACTAAAACACTATTCAGTTTCAATTAAAGCTACAACAAGAAAATGACATATTAGTCATCGTAGTTGTAGCTCAAAGAGAAGGTCGTGATTCTATATAAACTTATAATATCGAAACAGAGTTTGACCGTTTCTTCTCATCCACATTTCTATATACACCTCCATCCCCTTAAATATCTTCAATATTCTTTGGTCATTTCTCTAGCTTTGGAGGTTCAAGTTGATGTTGCGTCCATAAAAAATATTTTCCTGTACCAGAGTATAAATGTAATTCATATAAAAGAGCATATATTACACTACAACTATGATAACTCAAACCGCTCATATAATATGTACACATTCAATTGCCCACATGAACCTACTGTCACTATGAGAGTGAAATTGGCCAGATGTGTTTACCTGTGTAGGTAGTATTATACAGCAGGGAAATGCCATTCACTTGAACGTCTGTAATTCTTCATTGAGTTGAAGATGGGAAAGAAATGAAAGATATATGGAATACTTTACATCTTTATCTAATAACCTGTGATTTATATATTGTCATTGAATGAATGGTCCCCCATAAGTAAGAATACTTGGATCAAATTCTTCCATGTCTAAAAAAGCACAGCTGGAATGAACATACCATTCCCTAAATGATTGACCGATCACTTTGCATTTAGAAAGCTGACCTGAAAAACTTAAATTTTTGTTAGCTTTGAATAGATGAAGTATTTGTTCTTTTGCAAAGAAATGAGAAAACACTTATTCTAGAATTCTATTGGTGAAATAGTTAGAAGGGTGCATACCTAATGAAGAGGCAAACCTCATGGTTCTTTTTTTTTTCCATTTTGAGTCACTTGAACAGTTGAACTACACGAGTGATAGCTGCAAAAGTTTGTTCCGAACTTGTTCTGTACTTCTGTTACATATGAGTGATATGATGTTACTTACCTAGTTACCTCTTAGTTTTATGCGGTTTATTTTGACATGCTAACTTAGCAACTGACATATCATTTCCAGATTTTCCTCAACGCACTTGCTTTAGTAATGGATTATCACTTGGCACTCTGGTACACATTGGTTTTTTTAGGTGGGTACTGTTCTGTTACTCTACATAGATTTGTTTTTTGAAAACAGATAAGAATGCTTTGACATGAAGTGACAATTTAAATGCTTTTTGTTTGCAATTCTTTTAAACTTTAACCTGTAATTAAATATTTTCAATTAGTGATACTTGATTGAGTTTTCATGAATGTGAAGATGTGGGCTCATATAGTGGCAAATTACCTACTAACTGACATATCGGTGGTGGCTTGAAACACCATCCCATGTCATGGCCTCATGGGTACAATTCCTATAAGAAGTCTAATAAAATACTTTGTTAATGCTTACATATATTCTCTCTAGAATCTATAGATAGGAACTAATGGACTAGGTACACCCTATGCATCATAGGTGCTTAGTTTGTTCTATACTTCTATGTATATTTTATGTAGCAAAATTCGCTACTTTTAGCATTTTTAATGTTTGTAAGTTCCAAAATGTTAGGGAGCTAGGTAGTATGGGATACCAAAAGTCCCACACCGAGTAGAATGGGATACTTGGTGGGGTTCTTAAGTGCCTGGTTCTCCCACCTTAAAAGCTAGGCCTTTGGGGTGTGGCTCTCCAAGGTGCTTAAGTTACTAACACAAAATATGGACTTGGTGTTTGAAACAAAGGAGTTCACCTATATGTTATTGCTTAATGTGGATTTGGTAGTTCATACAAGAATGTATTAATTCATGATCTACTGCATTAGTATGGGCAAGCTGGCCTGCGTTGATGTCAATAGTATAGCTTAATGATTTACTTCCAGCTAAGATTTTTTAAATAGATATGGGTAATCTGCCAAACTGGGTTGTGCTTATTCTTTTACTGTGTTCTGTTGTTTTAATTTACTTTCTTTCATTGCAGTCATACATATTCTAACACAACAGCCTCCCTATGAAGGCCTAGGTATGGGTTAGTGTATGCTCATGTCTCTCATTGTTGCTTATGTCTTTGACTTTTCAATGTTATGGTTTGGTATTAAGTTTATTAACTAATTTGATGAGATTGATGATTACCCTGACTACAAATATTTACTTGTAGGCAATTCAATTCAATTAACCCCATTGCAACTGGAGGCTTTGCTTACTGAAGGGAACACTTCAAGATTTTGGTTGGTCGGTCTTATAAATCATATTTCTGTTTCCAAACAGAATGTTTTAGATATGATAATTAATTCATCACATTTTTCATATATTATTGGATTTTGGTGCCTAGATTTTTTTTAGTAAATGTAATAATTTTTTCATGTGAATGTAAACCTAGCATTAAAATTCCAAGTTTTGTTGAGTCCCAGTCCATTAGTATTGTCCTTTTTTCATGGATTTTTAAGTTTGTCGTGAACATAATCATTTAATTAACTAGTTGAGCTTTATGCTCAAAACTTGGTCTTATTCTATTGTTCTTGATTTATCTCATATTTATCTCATGTATTTCTTTTGTGGCTAAACTTGTATAAAATGCTGCTAGATTCATCATGCACGCAGAAGCAACAACTATGCAAGAGCAATAGGCCAATAGCTATTGTAATATATTGATTGTAATGAAAGGAATACTTCGTTTTCTTTTGCATTTCCTGTTTAACTAAATTTTCAGTATTTTCCTATCTGGTATAACGATTGTACCAACCTGCTCTCTATAAAAGGTGGGTACAAGTAGGTTTTGCCATTCCTGAGTTGATGGGACCTTTTAGAAAATCTTCTATGCAATTGATTAAATAAATTGTAGGTCATCCAAATTGACATGAAAATAGGATGCACATACTTATGTCACATATTAATCTAAATAAGCAATAGACAGGTACAACAACCTCTCATATAGAATCTTTTCTCTGATTTTCTAATGCATTATGCTTTGCAGGTAGAGTTTCGTGCATTGTCAACATCGACTTGTATATGCACCAGTTCGTTTTTCCCCGAACTCTCAATCACGTAAGTGTTAGAAACCTTGAACATTTGCAGTAAGTCAGTAGGATTCCTAACTGGTTAGCTTCTTTCAATTGGTTACATATTGAACTATGACAATCTAGACTTCATTTATTAAACTGCATGTTGTTTCTCGCATAACTGCACAGAGTCCAGATTCTCAATAGTGATGATGTTTTTTATAATTCCGCAATATTTGTTCCCCCCAACTGAATAGTAATGGAAGGAATTGGTGAGAATCCCCACTCATTTGTTAGTTAGTCATGTGCTCAGTTGTCTTGTATGTTTTTCTTTGTAGATACTCAAACAAAAAATTGTCCTTTGGAGTAGTTGATCTTGGTCTCTTCCCAAATGCTGCAGAAAAGTTCGAAATTTCTTTGGGTAAGACATTAATAATACAATTGATTTGATTGTTACTATCTGGGTTTGATGGGATTGCAAATTAATTAGGAAGAGGTGTTCTACATTGTCATATATACTGCCTCTGTTCCTAATCTATTTTCTTATTTGATTTCACATATTTTAAATAAACTGTGTGGTCGAAACTTGTTTGGAGAAACGTCTGCCTTTAACACAATACCAAACTCCATTTCCTTGAAGCTAAAAGAGGATAATGTAGGGATGGATGAAAAAGGAAAAGGTGAAGATAAAAAAGGGATAGCAAGGGCATACACTTCAGCCTCTATGCTTATTATTATGCCAACCCATGCATACATATATATTTCTACTGAATCTACTTGATGCAGCAAGTTTAAACCAACTTCCACTCTATATACTATTTGAGAATGGAGCCGAGGTCACACGTTTTCCTGAGTTGGATTTTCAGGGAACAGTTTTCAGCTCTTCTATAACAAAGGTAATAATTCACTGATGAATTACGCTGTGCACAATGTGTCTTTATTTTGTCTTTATCATGAAACCGCTATCTGTTGATGAATTATCACGCTTTTTGATGGTATGTTGCCACTAAATCGTGACCTTTTGAGATATCATTTTATTCTTTCGCACTTGTAATGTGATTCATAGGGGCATTGTCTTTAAGAAAGTTGAAAGCACTCTAATGTTGCATTGTTTTTCACTTGATGGATTGATTTATTGATAGTAATATAGGAGATTAGAAGGTATGCTTATGAAATATACTGTAGTATTGAATTTGAGGAAGAAAAAAAATAGAGGATCCTTCGATGTGGTCTCCCTCTGGAATGGCAGATTGGATGCTGATAATGTAAGAAGCACAAGAAAATAAGGTAAGTCTATTCAATACAAAGAAACAAAAGATGTAAGGGAGTATCAGAGCCTTCAGAGGAACTCTCCAACACTATGTGCTGGACTTTTGGCCTCATCACAATGATCTTTTCTATCATTGAGCTTTTTTATAGTCTAATGCAGTTACAGGGAAAAGTAAGAAATAAGTTGAACATCATATAAAGATTCTAATACTAATCTATAACCATTGATATTATGTTGATTGGTTCCTACACTATTGCTCATTTATATCCTTGATGTCTGCCCTGGATTCTACTTGTGACCTGTATTACTGACACACATAGAAAAAAGCCTTGTCCACTAGGCTCAAACTAAGAAGGGGCCTGAGTAATACTGTAATAGTGAGTCTCTATTTTTTGCGGGCTTTTGCGAACCGTTTCGCCCCAGACTTTATTTAAGCCGTTCACAGGGCATATTGTCAATTCTTATAAAATAGCGTTCAACTCAACAGCAAATATATAAATTGATCCAAAATATTTGCAGTATGCATTTATAACTCCACCTGCGGATTCCTTTATCTTAACCCATCCAGGTCTTAAGGCTCCTTCTGTTTTAAATTTGTACAAATGTGTTAGGGGTTTACTCCAACAATCTTTCTTGTGAATATGTTCTGGAAGTTCTAACTATTTAATTTTTGAAATCTGGTAATTCTAGTTTTAGAAGTACTATGGTGGTTTCCTATTCCCATTAGCTTTAGGTTTAATGTTTCCAACTCTAATTGATGTTAGACTCATAATTTCTCTGTATAGGCATCACAGTGGTCCTTGGAAATTACTCCCTGTCCCATAAAATAGTTCCCACTTTTCTTTTTGGGCCGTCTCAAAAAATAGTTCCCATTTCCCTTTTTAGAAAGTTTTGTGTGGCTAACATTCATTTACCTTTTTCTTACTCAACCACAACCATACATTTCCACTTTATTCTCATTTTCTTGAATTCCGATCCAAATCAAAATGGTACTATTTTATGGGACAGAGGTAGTATGAAATTGTTGTGTGTTTTAAAAATCTTTTTATTCAAGATTTATAACATTTATGTCGTGTTTTGGGGTGAAAATAAGGGGAAATGAGAAAAAAATGAGGTGACATGCTCTATGCACTGTATCACAGGCTCTTGAATTTAACTGTTAATACCTAAAAGGAAATAGGAATTGGTTTGAGAGCTCCTATTTTTTCTAGCCCAACTGTGCAATTTCCTTGAATTGCAGAAACTTCTATGCGAGCACTTTGAACTTGATAAGCGGCTTCTAGATTACATCGTTGGAAAATAGGGGTAAGCTGGCATCCTATACTTGACCCTATTGCACAACATTCATATTTGTTCATAAATCCAACTGTTCTGTTTCAGCTAAAAGAGCACACGCACGCGATATACTCCATTGAGAACAGAGACTGGTCCGAGTCATTCTTAACTGGAACTGTTTTGATTGAGCCTCACAGTTGTAAAGTATATCTTTCACTGATTAACAAAAGATTAGTAAATCTCCATTGTATTCGCTTTATGTAATGACCTCTTGAACCTTACTGATTTGTGTAGTCTCAAAGTGACTAGTGAAACTTCATTTTTATCCTCTTTTAAGCTATTTTCATTGTAATAAAAGGAAAGTTCTCAAACAAAATTGAGTATAACATATGAGGCTAGAGGTCGGTCAGGGTCAGGGATTTGGGCCCGTGAGGTATCTAGCTAGGGGTGGGCAATTTGGTTTGGTTTAACCGAACTGAGCCAACCGTATCAAACTGAACTAAACCGAACTGAAACCGGACCATACGTAATTTGGTTGGATTTTGGTCGATCGAAATCGAAACCAATAAAATCAATAAATCTTCATATATTTTCAAAAAATATAAAAACAAACTGAAGCGAATTGAACCAAACCAAATTGAAAATTAGTATGGCTTTTGTTTGATAAATTCTTCCAATCCATTCTAAACCAAATTGAATCCAAATCGATAAAAACTGAACCGAAAACCGATATGCTCACCCCTATATCTAGCCTTGTCATTTTATCAAATATTAACAACTCGATGTCAAAAGCGTGTCTGGTTTAAATCAGGATTGCAACGATTTGGGATGGTTTAGGGCACGCTTTAAACAATTAAACGAGACAAAAAAGTGTCTTATAGTCTTATAGATAGTCATATAAACTTGCATTTACTATTATTATTTTTTAAATTTGCTACACAATTAACTAATTAACCAATTAAATTGGAAAAACAACCATGGTCCAATTATGGTTAACTCAAAAACAAAAAATATGTCTCAAATTACATTATTTGCAATGTTTGATGGCTGCCTCAGTGCAAGAGAGAAACACACCAACAAATAGCAATAATGACACACTTAGTATGCCTAAATCCTCATCATCATCAATACCCCAATGCCGCAAAGGTGACATACAACATACAGTTAGGGATGACCTCAGTTCGGTCCGGGACGGGCCTCGGTCCGATTCCGACTGGGCTTTTTTTGGAGAAGTGAGGCTCGGAAACCGGCCCGGGTAACTCCGGTTCCGCGTCGGGTCGGTTCACCCGGCAGTTACCGGGCTGGGCCGGTTCAGGCCAGGTATCCCATTTTTTTCTAATTACTTCCTACCCCCCCACCCCCACACCCCAAACCCCTCCAAAACACCCAATCCAACCGGGTCTGAACCGGATCCGAACCGACCGGGCTGGTTCATGATTGGGGAGGCCCGTGAACCACTCCTCTACAGTGCCGAGCCAATTGGCCCGAACCAGTCAACAAACCCTAGACCAGGCCGGTCCAGGCCGGAACAATGTCGGTTCGGGCCGGTTCCGGTTCGGTTCACTCGGCCCGAGTCCATCCCTACATGCAGTGGGATAGAGTCATATGTACACAAGTTTACCCCTATGCTAAAGTACAGAGAAACTGTTCCCGAATGACTCATGGTGAAAATCGCATTGAAAATTACATGCCTAAATCTTATCATGTTTAATTGCTAACGCTTGCTTACGGTGGCAGTTTGGCTATTTATTTTTTAAATGACTATCAGTGAAAATTATCAATATATATATATATATATATATATATATATATATATATATATATATATATATATATATATATTTACAAAGTTCGCTCCAAGAAAAGTTTTTTAGTAATTTGATAAGTTAATTTTTAATGTATTAATAAGTTAAATATATTCAAAACAGAGTAATAATAATAGTATAAAGCCTAACGTTAGAACTATTAAAGAAAGGAGAGTATATATATACATGTCATGACAAGATTGACTTTCAATGTTGGGAAACTTATTGGTTTGAAGAACTATAGGGAGAGAAAGAACAATAATAATAATGTACCAGGCATGGGCAAAGTTGAATACATGGTCATAACTCATAATTGAGCCCAAACTAGTTACCAAATATTTAGGTGGTTAGCACATGCCTCGGGTGCACACTATACAACTCACATCTGACTCTAGACCAGCCCATTCTGATCACCAAACAAGAACCCAATGGGGTGGCAGAATGTTATCTTACTTTGATTCCGTGTTAGTTCCAGCTCAAATTGTTGAAAAGTAGTCGTAGATGGGGTAGAGGAAATGAAATTATCAAGAAAAACATCTAACACAATTCCAAAAAACGAATAATACATCTCTCCAAAACAGACTACAAATTTGTTTGATAGTATCAATCAAATTCATAAAATTTCATTCTAAACAATGGAGGAATAAGCAGGCAAGATCAGTCAAGGACTGACATTCTCTCGAATAAACGCAGCTATATGAAAGATTTCACCGGTCAAAGCAGAGCCTTCTTCAACTACTACCTTGTTCATGCATTGGGAGAATGTGAACGGTTCTCCAGGTGTTCCAAGTGTAAACTCATTGGAAATATCTGCATCTGATACAGCAGTTCTTGAATGCCGAAGCTTCTCTCTGAATCATTTTCATTACAAACAAAAGTTACAATATGTAAAATACACAATACACACAAGTTACAATAAGGATGTTTTTACTTGGACCGTAATTCCTCCCGGACCAGACCAGTTCAGACCAGACTTGGATAGTTATAAAAATACAAAGAAACCAGACCAGACCAGACTAGAAAATTACAGTCCAAGTAAAAACATCCTAAGATACCGTTATCTCACATTTCCCTTTCCAGTTGCTTTGTTATGAAAGCTTTTGTATGTGCAGTAACTTTATCCACCTTGTTGCAGAATACTAGTACTGGAATCTTCTTCTGAACCACATCTCCCTTGGTCAGAATATCATAAAGGTACCTTCATAAGGAAAAAAAGGGAGACATCCGGAGAAGTTATGCATGATAGTCCACATGCAGTTTCAAATTGCAAAGCACAATCTAGGTTGATAGAGCTTGATTTGGACCCTAAAATTTCAGATTTGTTTAATGAAATTTCAGCCAGTTTAAAAACTAGAAACATATGAATAGTGTTTTAAAAACAGCTATTATAAGAAGTACAAAAAACCTAGCTTATGTGATTATTTTCAATAGTTTTCCCAACAAAACTAATTATTTTGAAACCTGCTTTTCAGCACAATAACTTTAACCACGCAAAAAAGATCGAAACAATAACCAATAAAAATATAATCGGTTATTGAAATAATCAAACTTTTCCAGCTATCCAAGACACTCAAAGAGTTGTAAGTACTCTGAGGCAGCAGGGCAGTTGGGTAAAAAATCTATAGCATCCACAACAAAGACAACCCCGGCTGCCAAACGCAAAAACTCATCCAAATTTGACCGAAGGCGATGGTGACCAGGCACATCAATAACATCAACATTGCACTTTATTTTGTCATCCTGCAGAAGAATAATACCAGCGTAGAGAAATTAAATCAAAACTTAAATTATATTGAAAAAAGGGGGATTTGGGATTGTGTGGTTTTAATTTTAATTAAACACTAAGATGAACGACTTATATGTGTTTTAATTCAAGAGATGAAGAACTTGGCTTTGCTACTTTCCACTTGATGTGTTTGGTCGATCCCGGTTATATCTTTAACTTAGTCCCTCTTGAATACTTAATCGAGGAGTATCTCCAATTCATCGAAGATAGTTATTATCGAAGGTAGTTATTAATAACGACCGTTCATTAACAACCCCTACTATTAATCAAATATAGAACAACATCGTATACCGATTTAATAGTAGCATTTGGGATGTTTTTGCTTGAACTATAATTCCTCCCAGACCAGACCAGACTTGGATAGTTATAAAAATACAAAGAAACCAGACCAGATCAGCAAATAACAGTCCAAGTAGAAACATCCTAACCTTTTTAACTCCTTGATGAAATCAATTGAGATTGATAACCTCAACACAGCGGTTACGGTTTAATCAACAGATATAATCCCTCTTAAGTTTATTAACCACGACCATGCATTAGTAAACTGAAGTTACTTACTTATGAAACCATCAACGATTAACCATCGGTTCGTTGATCGTTTCTAGTAGTAATTAATGTCGAAGCGTTAACTAATCATCACTTAGCCACACCCCAACATTAATATAGATATAAGATTAAGGGAAAAATTAATATTCAAGAGAAGAAGTTGAGAAATAACTCACAACATTCAACAAGCTTTAAGAGCAAAACAAAGAAATGAAAGTTTAATTCCTCATTTGGAGACTAAACATGCTAGAAAAATATAAATAAATAACTGTTCTAAACTAAGCTTAAGAGTATCAAAGAAGGAATGAATAAAAGTGAAGGAAAAATGTACTATTCATAGGTGTTTTCAACACTTTTGGTCGGATACCCGACCGGGTATAGAGCATACCCGACCGGGTATCAATCAAAACCGGATCGATTCGCCATGTTCTTGTGTTTTCAGCATGTTCGTTGGTCCGGGTCACATCATACCCGACCGGGTAAAGTACCTTACCCGACCGGGTAAATGTGCAATTTCCCACCAACTTCTGTTTTTCTGCCATTCCCGACCGGGTGAGAGTGCATACCCGACAGAATATCTTCAACTTTTCCACCTTTTCCAACACCATCAACTTTACTATTACTATACAACATACAAATGAAAGCTAAAATACAATTACAACCAAAATCGCACACATGTTACAAACTAAATAATAAAGGTAGGCAATCAACGCAAATCAAACATACATTTATGCACCACTAACTAGTGTGCATCAAACACCCCATACTTGGTCATTTTACTCGTCTAGAGTAAATGTAAAACCTGTACAAGAAGTCCTCTAAATGAGGAGAGTATCAATACAACCATCCAAGAATGTTTTAAGATAAAAACATCACAAACTATCCCCATGGTTAAAATTAAAGAGTAAAAAAATGGGTCCTCAAATCCACATCTCCTTAACTCTTCTTTTCCCTTCAGATCCTGCAAAATCAAAAGAGATACTTTCTCTCATTTTACCTAGGTGCCTTTCGGGTTTTCATTTCAGCTTCACACATTTCTCTCTTTAAGTCTCACAAACTAACTCTTAGTTTTGCTTTTATTTTTGTTTAAATTGCCCTTCCATCTAATCCGCCTCCAAAGTTGCCGCCGATCCCACCATAGCCGCTAGCACCGCTATACCCACTGTCACAACCAATGTTACCATCACCACCATGTCCGGAGCTAGAGTCTCCAAAATTGCCACAATAGGTGGGGTCATACCAAGTCGGGGGTGGTGGTTTTTAAGTCTCACAAACTAACTCTTATTTTTGCTTTTATTTTTGTTTAAATTGCCCTTCCATCTAATCTGCCTCCAAAGTTTCCGCTGATCCCACCATAGCCGCTAGCACCGCTATAGCCACTGTCACAGCCAATGTTACCACCCCCGACTTGGTATGACCCCTCCTATTGGGGTAATTTTGGAGCCTCTAGCTCCGGACATGGTGGTGATGGTAACACTGACTGTGACGGTGGGTATAGCGGTGCTAGCGGCTATGGTGGAATCTGCGGCAACTTTGGAGGCGAATTAGATGGAGATCATTTCATAGATGAGCACTAGGGACAGTGTTTGAGCAAGCGTGTGGGGAGATTTTTTCTGGTATGTTCACAATCATACTCTTTGTATTTGTTATTTCAAATAACAAAAAAAATTAAAAAATAAAATAAATAAAAAGCTTGTTAAATTGAAATCCCACAAAGGGCAATTTAAACAACAACAAAAACAAAAATAAGAGTGAGTTTGTGAGGCTTAAAAAGAAAAATGTGTGAAGCTGGGATGAAAACCCGAAAGGGCACCTAGGCAAAATGAGAGAATGAGAGAGTATCTCTTTTGATTTTGCAGGATCCGAAGGGAAATAAAGAGTCAAGGATAGAGATGTGGATTTAAGGACCCATTTTTTTACTCTTTAATTTTATTTTAACCATGGGGATATTTTGTGATGTTTTTATCTTAAAACACTCTTGGATGGTTGTATTGATACTCTTGTCAATTGGAGGACTTCTTGTACAGGTTTTACATTTACTCGAGACAAGTAAATGGACTAAGTATTGGGGTGTTTGATGCACACTAGTTAGTAGTGCGTAAATGTATGTTTTTATGTTTGATTTGCGTTGATTGTCTACCTTTATTATTTAGTTTGTAACATGTGTGCAATTTTGGTTGTAATTGTACTTCGTATTTTAGCTTTCATTTGTATGTTGTAAAGTAGTAGTAGAGTTGATGGTGTTGGAAAGGGTGGAAAAGTTGAAGATATTCTATCCAGGAAGATTACCCGATCGGGTATGCACTCTCACGGTCTCACCCGGTCGGGTATGACAAGAAAACAGAAGTTGGTGGGAAATTGCACACTTACCCGGTCGGGTACCCTGTTGGGTATGATGTGACCCGGACCAACGAACGTGCTGAAAACACAACATGGCGAATCGATCCTATTTTGATTGATACTCGGTCGGGTTTGCCCTATCAACTCTACTACTACTTTACAACATACAAATGAAAGCTAAAATACAATTACAACCAAAATCGCACACATGTTACAAACTAAATAATAAAGGTAGACAATCAACGCAAATCAAACATAAAAACATACATTTCTGCACTACTAACTAATGTGCATCAATATGATGGAATAAAGCAAAATGACTCACTAAACTGTTTGCGCTTCTTTGTTATGAAGAAGTCGTCAATCCATGCAATTTTTGATGCGATTTTAACTATGGCAAGGTTGTTAAGATCGCGTTCTAACTCGCTGAATCATACGATTTTACGATTAGAAAAGGGAGGGTCGTGTTGGATTGCTGCTAGGATCGGAAAATGGCCTGGGATTGCAGGATCGATGAGTAGAAACATAACTCGTACAAATCGTCGATCTAACCGAGATGCAATTTCTCAGCTGAAAAACCAGGCAACAAAGGGCGGACCGAAGTCTTCAATGACGAGTTTTAAAAAAGAATAAACATTGACGACTTACGATGAAGGAAGCCCAAGCGCCACGTTTTAAGGGACGGAGGTAGTATATTATTGCTTTGAGTCTTGTCTCTTGAGATTATATTATTATTATGTTATTACTAATTATTAATATTAGTATTAGTATTAATTCAATGTTTGCATACAATTGAATTATATGTCTGTGGAATATATATGTGTGTGTGAATCTGAACTGTTAGATTGTATTATATGAAATTGAATATGCCTTAGCTGAAACTGAAATGTGCATTTGATGAAGTCAAAATGTGCAACACAAAAGATACAGCGTATCGACATTATATGAAGCTGAATTGTGCATTATATGAAACTGAAATGTGCAAAATAAAAGCTACTATGTGCCTTTTTATTATGCACATTTCAATTTCCTGTAATGCACATTTGAATTTTTACCTTTATTCTGCACATTTCAATTACATCTAATGCACATTTCAGTTTCACTAAATGCATAATTCAATTTCACATAATACAATCGAATGGTCAAGATTCATTCTCATTTCTCTCCTAGGAGTCCTTTCTCACCAGAACCACTCCCTATATATATATATGAGAATGTGCTCCTAAGGTAGGCCTAAAACTTACAAGTTTTAGGCCACTTTTATTTGAGGTGCTTCCGGGTAGAATATTTTTATGAAATTTTGAGACCATGTTCTCAATGAAGTGAGATTATCTCCACCAAATATCAGATTAAAATTCAAACGAGAAGTCATTTAAATAAATTATTGAAAAAAACTGCATTATATATATATAACTGCACAATTTTCAATAATTTATTTATCTGACTTCTCGATTGAATTTTAAACTGAAATTTGGTAGGCATAGTCTATCATTCATTAAGAACATGCTCACAAAACTTCATCAAAAAATTCGACCCAGAAGCAACTCAATTGAAATGGGCCTAAAATTATTAGTTTTAGACATACCTTAGGAGAACACTCCCCTCTATACATGCGCGCGCACATAGGTTTTGGTTCAAATAAGAACATGATCTTAGGAGAGATGAGAATGAATCTAGACCCTTAGTTTTAAAAGGCGTGAGGCGGCGCAAGGCGTTTCCATTGATTTACCGAGGCGCGAGGCGCAAGGCGACGAGGCGCGCGCCTCACGGTTCTTAACATCATATCTTTGGTAAGATATATTTATACTATTTCTAGTCTTCTACATGAAGCACTCATCTCAAAAAATGATAAGATCACAAAAATAGTTCAAACTATTAAACAATCTTAACATACATCATAAGAGAAACCAAATATTTATTAAGACAGTAGCAAGAAATAAATATCAAACGGCATCATTGGCAAAAGTCAAGTCACAAAACTCAATTTTAAAATTTCAAAACAAAATTAATAAGATGTTATATAAAAAATTGTTAAACAAAATCAAATATTTGGTACTCACCATGATCTAGAACAGACCAACAGAGGTAGTAACACTACAATTGCAAGGTAATAAAATATAATATAATACATACTAAAACTTAATTAATAAACTATATACGTATAAAAGAAACTGTAGAAGAGAAGAAATTAATACCTACCTGCGACAACTCTGCGAGTCCTGCGACGCGAGAAAGTAGCGGAAGAAAGTAGCGGAAGAAACGGGCCAGCAGATGTGGGAACTCGGAAGCAAAGCAAACGCAGAAGGAAGAAGGGAGAAGAAGGAATAAGGAAGAAGACTAGAGAGACATCCATGAGGTGTGAGAAGCGCGCTCCTCTCAGAGGCGCAAAAGGCGTCAAAAAGCGTCGTATAAGGCGCGCCTCTTGGAACCTACGCCGCCTGGGGGTTGAAGATGCGATAAAGTGTTTGCCTTAGGGCGCCTCGCGCCTTTTTAAACTAAGTCTAGACCGTTAGATTTACTTTACGTTAAATTCAATGTGCATTAGATGAAATCGTAATGTGCATTATTGAAATGTGCGGCACAAAGTGTATGATACAATGGCATTATGTGAAGCTGAATTGTGCATCAGGTGAAATTGAAATGCGCACTATGTGAAACTAAAATGTGCAGAATAAAGGTACGATGTGATGTTATTTTTGTACCTTTTATTGTGCACATTTCAGTTTCGTCTAATGCACACTTTTGTTAAAATTTTTATTCTGCACATTTTCATATCATCTTATGCACATTTCAGTTTCACCAAATGCTCAATTTAGTTCCACATAACACAATCTAACGGTCCAGATTCATTCTTATTTCTCCCTTGGGAGTCCGTTCTTACCGGAATCGCTCCCTATGTATATATATATATATATATATATATATATATATATATATATATATATATATATATATATATATATATTGCCTGGAAGAATCCTCGAGTTACGATCTCCTAGACCCCATCTGATCCGTGCTAGGATCTCGAGTTTAACAACCTTGCACTATGGGTCATCTAGAAACAGTTTCTCTGTGCTTTAGTATAGGGGTAAGGTAACTAAAGAATACAAGTGGACAACTTACACCCTCTTACCCCACCTTAGGTGGGAGTCTTTGTGACACTGGGGTGATGATGATGAAAGATTAAAGAATACAAGTGGACAACTTTAAGTAATTACATGCTATTAGCTTCAGATTTGCTTATGGCATGCTTATTGTGTAATTGAAAATTGTGTGATTGTGCTTTTCGAGAATATATGATATATGGGTCATCTAGAAACAGTTTCTCTGTGCTTTAGTATAGGGGTAAGGTAACTAAAGAATACAAGTGGACAACTTACACCCTCTTACCCCACCTTAGGTGGGAGTCTTTGTGACACTGGGGTGATGATGATGAAAGATTAAAGAATACAAGTGGACAACTTTAAGTAATTACATGCTATTAGCTTCAGATTTGCTTATGGCATGCTTATTGTGTAATTGAAAATTGTGTGATTGTGCTTTTCGAGAATATATGATAGGCTTGGGGGACAGCAACAGCCTATTCAATACTTCAATAAGGTGTACAAGAGGAGAAATAAGTAGTATTATTACTTAACTAAATAATAGCTAGTTCGGTTGGTCCTTGCGTGGATAATTAGCTATAAATAGTAAGTAGAGAACAAAATAAGGCAGGCTGTTATTTTGTCATTGGCTGGTAGCTTGGAGATTGGGCATCTCAAACTGTCCCACCCCTGTACTCCTTTACCGACTTTCTCTCTCTCTCTCTCAATAAACTGTTGTGATCTGTTCTAGCTACATTTTCCTTAGAATTGTGATTGTTCTGTGTTCATTACTACCAGTGTTCTATCAATATAAGCCACACAATTTTCTCTTAAAAGTGAAATGGGAAAATAGTTTTGAGGCAGGCAAAAATAAAATGGGAAACTGATGTGGGGACATAGAGAGAGTGCGATACTAAGGTTAGAAAAATAAAAGCAACGAAAATAGATGAGTACTAACGGGAATGATACTCTCTCATGTCTGTGTGTCTACGTATAGGAATATTTGGTTCTAATTTCTGGTCTTTTATAACAGTCCCACCATTTATTTTCTTGACAATAAGCCAACCTTTTCTAACTCCTTCAAATAACAGGCCATTTTTAGAGTGAACCCACTTCAGCTAACATTATCATTCTAAATTTCTAATGAAAACTTATATGTGTGGACTGACATACGAAATGAGCAAACCAATGCTGGATTATTCTCAAGACAGTGAAAGATGGGACTATTATAAGTTGATAGAGAAAAGGTTGAAAAACACACAATTACTATACTAACTGTTACCTTGGTTATCTCAGAACGTAGACTAATGATGTCTCTATTGGGTTCCATCGATGTGACAGTACCCTCAGGTGGTGGCGAGCCATCTCGAAGCTATAGTATACGAAACAGGGTTTATTTACAGTGTGAGGTTGCATCCAAAGAATTTCTAAATCATAAAACATTTTCTTATCAAAAGCTATATGCACATGCCACTTACCTGGTAAAATATAAAAGTTTTTCCACTTCCACAAAGTCCAGTTAAAACAATGGTATTTGATGATCTGCGCTTGAGGGCCAAAGCTGCAATTGAGCAATATATCAAAAGAGCAGCATACTTTAGCATATATAACATTATATTGTTGATGTGCAAACAGAATGTGGAACAACTAAAATGGAGGCAATGATGATTTATGCAAAATTTAAATAGACGAGAGAAGCGAAAAGTAAATACTGAACGAGTTAACTATAGAGATGCAGGTTCGTTAAAGAGAGAAATTATGTGGTTTTGATTTATTTAGCTATAAAAGAATAATAATCAACCATAGAATACTTACCTTAATTGGAAGAATGAAGATTATTAAGGAAGTAGGATGATTATAGGGGAAAGATGGAGTATCTTATAGTCATGGGCAGGGCCAGGGTCCACCCCATGTTTGGTAAAATTCTTTAATTTTACATGTAAACAGATATGTATGAAAATTTATAAAAATTTATATAGATAATTTTCTTATCCGGCCCACCCCACTTTACTCCCTTGCCTAGATATAGCCATGTTTTGCACAACATCATCAATCTACAATAAAAGCACATAACAATCTTCTCCTTGCTCCTATAAATATTTTTATCGCTGCTTAGTAGGCAGCAGCATATTGATCACTCTCTACACTCCTGACTGTTAAATATTACAATTACAATATTCAACAAGTTATGAGAATCACACTCTCGTGCCTTAAACCTAAAACTCAGCTTTTAGGGACTTGTAAACAGTAGCAGTAATTGAACCAATCAATGATGTAACCTAGGCAAGCAAGCAGAACAAGAGTCAAATTCATGAGCGCTTAAATCATGCCCATAGGATGATTGGATGAGCAAATTCTAGGTAATACGATTTATTCAGAAGATGATTAGACTTGAGTTAAGAAGAGGAATTTACTGATGAAACGGAGCCAAAAACTAGTCAACAACAGGATTACAAGAGCAGCAATTAGATGAAGCAGAGAGATCTGATGCAGCAACTGATTAGCTTCGCCGACCAACTTCAGCGCTTGAACCTTCAATTTCTCGACTACATCTTTATCCATAGTGCTCTAACATTGCCAAAAGTAGAAAACAATTGCATCAATTTTATTTCAAAACTGAACAGAATATATACAAAGCTTTTGCAGAAATTTCTATTTAAACTCCCAAACGATTTGGTTTCGGGTTGACATTTCCGAGATATATCCAATATTAGATGAAATAGTTTGTAATCTTCCCGTGCACCTTTGATCTATTGCGTGCCGGATACGGGCGGACGGACAGGAAAGAGTTGGGGGATTGCAAGGTGCAGAAAGATATCAATCCGGCAATGACGGGGTTTGTTGCAGCGATTTTCGTCTGGGGTTTGGGCCTGTTCAGGGGAGGAGCATGTTTAGCCTGGGCCGACTATACACTAAAAACATTATATAAACATTTTAAAAGCGACAATAGTGTGAACATAACGATTAAAATCCATTAAAATTCATAATTATATTTTTAAAAGCGACAATAGTGTGAACATAACGATTAAAATCCATTAAAATTCATAGTTATATTTTTAAACAATATGCCTATGTGTTGTTGGAGAGTATTCCAACCAATTAAATTCATTGAACCAAGTAGCTTGAAAACGGCGTATCCTATCTTTGTAAACTCGGCCTTTGTAAAAGTTCAATTTCGCTTGATAAGGTCCAAGCATCAAATAAGATCGCCTAATTTCATCTCTTTTCTCTAATGGCCAATCACTTATCGTTTTACGTTTTTCCTTATCCCGCTCAATTTCAAGTGCATCACAAACTACTTCCTTTTGAGCGGATGAGATATTAGGAGTTTCAATTGAGACATTCAACTCTTGTCTACTTCTAGTGCTTGTACTAGGCTTATAAAACGAACGCAATGTGAATTTTGATTTTTTGGAAGTAGATTGAGTAGCAATACCTACTCAAATTAGCAAAAAAAAAAAAACAAAAAAACTAATCAATATTTTATTCGAATTCGTATAATTCATATTAATATTTTGAGGAATTCACAAATCAGATTTGACATTCCTAAATCCTAATTTTTCATTTTACAATTCAAAGCACACAATGATAACACACTAAGTGACTAACACAAACTAAAATAACAAATAAAGTACTTAAATTAAACTAAAAATTGGAAAAACCAAAAAGCCAAAAACTGAAAGTCTCAAACCCTTACCTTGAGGCTCGAGAGAACTGGAGCCGAGTCTGGAGAAGCAGGTCAGCCGCAGGCAGTCAAGGGAACGGCGGCAGGCAGTCAAGAGAAGCAGCGCACGGCGATCGGCGGAGAGGAAGGAGATAGGTGTTGGTTCTGCGCAGGGGTGGAGGGAGGTTCTGCGACCTGGCGGCCCTGCGAACTGCGGTTCTTCCTTTCTTCTGATGCTTCACCGCTTGGCGGAATGGCGTTGCTTCTGCGCTTCTTTTCTGCGCTTGGGGTTTTTTTCTTTCTGGGCTGCAGTGGAAGTTGCACTGGGCCAGTATTTTATTTGTACTGGGCCAATACTAAACATTTTTAAAATATTCATATACTCCGTATAATACAAAAAAAAAAACTTGGGCCAGAGCCAGGCACGCCCTCCCCCTCCGCCCCTGCCTGCAATAAATATTGAGTGTCGCACGCCTACAAAGTCACTAGTTTCATAAGTATATTAGTTAAATAATTGGTTAAAGTTTACCATTTTTAACTAGAAAAGTCAAAGATGACTAACCAAATTAGGACGGAGGTAGTACATGTGTGATAATTTGTTTATATGTTGTTGAATGTTTGAAATGCTTATTTTTGTAGCTAATTTGTATTAATACATGAAAAGAAAATCAAAGTAATTTTTAGTACTAAATCTATAAGGAAGAATGTTCATACTTAATTTTGAGTTTGGCTTTTGAGTGTTTATTATAATGTGAGTACCCCTTATGATTTTAATACAAATATTGAAAATAAAATACATAGATTTGATTCTAAGGCTCGATATCTACATTTAAAAATGTGGGTTTGTTGCAGTTGATGAAATGTGTCACACCCGTCATTATTTAAAATGTCGGAAGATTGAGCGAATATATAAAATTCCAAACGGGATCATTGGAATACCTTAAAAGGTTATTGTAATACTTGATAGGTACTATTAATTATGGTGTATTTGATTGAGATTATCTAGTGTTATATATTAATACAATGATGATATGCTTTGTTGAGGAATATCCATTGTACTAGAGCGGTACAATGATTGTCACGTCCCTGACTGCATCTAGTCGTGTGTACAACCGCCGTACAATTAAGTGATGTCAATCGCAATTCACACTCACTCGATTGTATAAAGCGTCAATGAACATTGTTCATACCATACTCAATAAGTAAACATACATAACAACATCACACTTTAGATTGAATGAACAACGGAAATATTCAATAGTCAATCATGGGCCACATATGGCAAAACGTGGCTTACAGGCCCAAAACGAGGTATTCATTACAAAATATCCATGAGACCATGAGCACAGTTTATAGTTTCAAACAGTAAAGGAAGCACGAACCACGTCTTCCTTGAGACGACTTCACTCGTGCAAAGGTTCAGGTAGCAAGCTCTACCTTCAACCTGAAAATGGTGGGCCCCTCAAAGGGGTAAGTATGCGAATAATGACGAGCAACAGGCTAAATGTAGAATAACTAACGTTTCAAGTATAAGACCCAAACATAGAGTGATACATACACTTATACTTTTCCCCCAAGTTTTGATATACATATGAGTATATACACTTGTAAAATATCCGACCGGTAGGTCATTGTTTATTTGGGAAATCATAATGGTCATAGTCCTTGTCTTATAAACCCAAACCTACTCATTATACCCATGAGTGTATAGAACTTATCCTTGTTCAATCAAGCACCTTAAGGACACCGTCGGGTCCTAGGTTATTAACCCGTAGTCTATGAGTTTTGAGGACAATCAAGTCCTTGGGTACTCCACCAAATTTCATTCACGAGTTTTGAGGACAATCTAGTCTCTAGGTACTCCACCAATTACATTTCCGAGTTTTGAGGACAGTCCAGTCCCTGGATTCTCCACCAATTATATACCGAGTTTTGAGGAGACTCCAGTCTCTAGGTACTCCACGTCTCCACCATTTCCTATGAACTACCACATATCGTACTAGATATGGTCTATATCATATCATTACTAACGACAAATCTAAGCCTTAACATTTAATCATCATATATCTAGCATTAGCATTTAAATGTCAGATTCTATGCAATTCCATGCAAAATATACATATATAGGATGACTGGGGGCGGTTGTACCTTGAACCAGACCCAAAAAAGCATTTTATCAAAAACCGGCCCGAAAAACCGTAGCCGAACTGGCGCAGGTTCACTGCCAGACCGACACCGACTCACCTGCATTTGGCTGAACCGGTGTGGCTGTAGCTTAGCCGGCACCAGTTCCGGCCACTGGTCGGCGCCGTTCTACCATCTGCTTAGGGTCGACGTCTCGTTGCCCCCCCCCGAACGAACTCCGATTGCTCCAAAACTAATACATCTTATGTATTAAAACATCACATATGTTTTTATATACATTTTATACTTCCTACATGCATATTCATGTAGTTTCATTCATGTAAGCCTATTTACTTTGGCTAATCACATGCTTAAACTCTTTTAAACATCATTATGAATACATATAAGTTTTCATTATGTAATCTTATACTTAACCCAAGAGTTATAAGACATTAAGCCATCCACTCGTCTTGAATGAGTTTTATGAAGTTCTACCCTTCTCGGTTGAACTCCGGCGATAACTCTGGCCACTCTTTCAACTTCATGAAGGCTCTAGGAACACCTTAGACAAGTTCCCAACAAGTTTTCATCATCACAAAAATCATATCAAAAAAAATAACCTCTAAAAGGTTATTTTCCGGTGAACCGGTCACTTTGACTTCTAAGTCCGTTCTTGGACTTAGAACTACCTTCCAACCCCTTATGCTACACTTCTAAACATGTAGAACAGTCCTAGGGGTTCTTCATATGACATACAAGTCATATAATATGTGATGAGAAGAGAAAAATGTTATTACAAGGTCATTACCGATCCTTCAAACTTTTTTCCACTTTTCCTTCTCTAGAACTTCTTTTTAGCACTCCTTTGCTTGAGTTCCAATTTGGGCTACGGAGAATGGTATTTTCAGGGCTTCTCTTCTTGTTTGAGAGTGTATGGGCGAAATATAGGATAGGGATGGTGTGAAGAGGCTCCCTTTGTCTCTTTTGCACAATAAGCGGGGTCCACCTCAAGTCCCTTCTCACCCAACCCTCCAATCTCCCGCCCATAGCTCTTTCTTCTAGAACTATTTGGTTATCTCAAGTTGACTTTGAACACAGAAAAACGTGAGGTGTCCCCCACTCATGTGGGAGGTCATCCCAATATGTCCCGAAATGTACATTCGGCGTCGAAAGTTGTATTTCTCGAATTGTTTTAATTATATTTTCTTTTATCGGGTATATAAAATATATATCATGTTGCCAATAACTATGGGTCTTTAGAACGAGTATACATTCCTCAATTTTAATTTAGAAGTCCCCGAAATTTATTACGAGTTGTTATCTGATAAATTACCAATACCAGTCAGTAATTGGGCTTCATCTGACCAATCCGCCAACTCTATGCCTTTATATGGCCCAACATGAATATACACCATCATATAAATATTATCTAGACCAAGATGAATATAATATGCGGTCCCAAAAGTATCGGGGTGTCCCCTCGTGCATTTTACTAATCACGCGAAATGAATAACAAAAATTTACAACCTCGTAAATTCAATAACCATTCTCAAGGTTCAATTACATAATTTACCAAAAAGTAAATATACTTGGGGACGATGTTACAATGGTGTTATATGAGAATTATCCATTGTACTATATATTCCGAAGTGAATTTTGGTTTATTTATTGAGCAAATTTTAAATAAACTTTATTGCATTTGAATATAGTATTGACTGTGTATTATTTATTTTGCATAATAGTTCTTTTTTCGAATTGATTTAAATATATTTTATGCTACTTGAATTAAGGAATTTTTTATTTCGTTTATTATTTTCTAAGTTTTATGTATTAAAAAGAGTTGCCCGTCAACTTTTTCTCGTCGGCTATTCGTGTAAACTGACGTAAAAGATGTTTTAACGGTGATTTTTTAATAACAGACGTTATATATGAGACGTGAAATGCCCCTTTTGTAGTAGTGACAATTTGCTATTAGATTTTTTGTTTGATTTTTATATATTGGATTCGACTATTAATGATTTTTATGTGATATTTTGAATGTTTAATGTTATACTTTTCTATCATTACATTTAAAACGAGTTTCACCAATCTTACTATATACAAACCGCTGTGGGAATCCTGGTCAGTTTACCGCCCAAACATTTTGGTACAAGCGGGTCGGGTCGGACCAATTGGCTTACCCAGTTCAGCACAGCTCATAATGCATTACAGCAATTAATGTTTGGTACGAAGCATGTAATGGTTGCTGCGTTCACTAGTAAAAATCTGTTAAACTGCGTCACTTCATTTGAGGCGCTTATAAAACACGCGCTTTTAACATATACGACGTGCGGCGCTTTTTTTTAAGCGCCTCTAATATGTATTTAATTTTTTAATTATTTAATGTTTCGGGTCTTTGCAGCGCTTATATATAAAAGCGCCGCCAATATTTAAATTAAATTTTGATATTTAGAAGCGCAGGAGCGAAAAAGTGTAAATGAAGCGCCAAACCGAAAAATTTAAATAAAATTTTAAGAATATATCAACGCCACTGCGGCGCCTAATTAATGAAAAGCGCCGTATTAAAAAAATAATATTTTTTTAATTATTTAGGAGGCGCCTAAGATAAAAACGCGCCGCAGACCGACGCCAAATTTTTATTCAAAATAAACTAATTTTTTAAAAAATCGGATTTTAAAAAGAGGCGTGTGGCGCCTATATGTAAAAAGCGCCGCATAGATTACTCCACCTAATCGACCTGGGCCTTTGCAGCAAGCATTTCAGTTTGGAACCCTAGCTCGACACATCAATCCGCTGAACCCCTACTCCATCCGTCGCACCTACTCCGTGGCCCAGCCGTCGCACCTACTCCAGCCCAACCGTCAACGCTCCTCCGCTCACCTTCGTTGCCGTCGAAGCTAAGCACCTCCGCTCACTCCAGCCGCAGCCGTTGAAGCTAAGCACCTCCGCTCACTCTAGCCGCAGCCGTCGAGGCTCGTCCGCGTCCACTGTGCGTCGAGCTCCGGTCCGCTTGCCACCGTCGAGCTTTGGTTTGTTTGCCGCCATCGGTCTCCCCGGGCCCATTTTGCAGCCGTCGGTCTCCCATTTCAGAGCAGGTATGTATATTTTTTTAATAATAAATTTTTTCAATAATTTTTTATTTTAATTAATTTTGAGTAATAT